ATAATGTACTTTTAATATATTAAAAATGTACCTGATATTTATGGTTCACACAATTGTGTGGACCATGGTCCACACAATTATTTGCCGGAATTGTCTTCACCTTTTCCTTGTTTTTTTAATAAAATAATTTGTTAATTTGTTTAAAATTCGCAAATCACCAATAGAAACTAATTATTTTAAAATTAAAAAATAACCAAATTACGATAGTTTCGATTAAATAATTTGTTGATTTTTTTTATTTCTTTACTGATTATTCTTTATTACTAATAATACTAATACTGCTTCTTTTTTAAAAAAAAAAATTAGAGAAAATTTTAATTTTGGTCCACTGACTATTGGAGTTGTATTAATTGCAACACTTAACTATCAAAAATGTTAATTTCGTACCTTGACTATGCAATTTCTATCAATTTTAGTCACTCCGGCCAAATTACCGGCGAATTGTGACCGAAAAATCTTCAGCCAACATTTGAACTGAATTGAAAAGGGTAAAACCGTCTTTTCTTATTCCTTCTAATTTGGGAAAGTGAAGTGTTGACCAAAATAACACCCCTCCTTTCTGAGGGAAGGTTCATGGAGCTTCACGTGCTGTCTAGTCCCGTAAGAGCAAAAATTGAAAGCATCTCTCTTAAGCAACGAATGGGCCTCCATGCTCCGGTTCTAATTGGATGAGCATACCATTGTGTACCGGAGCTTCATCGCTTTTCCTGCAGCTCTTAATGGCCTAATTCGACTACAGAGAAGGGTGAGATACTAAGAAGAGACAAATTTCAAATTTAATCACTGCAAAATGATGATGATGATGATGATGATGATGATGATGATGGTGGTGATGATGATGATGATGATGATGATGATGATGATGATGATGATGATGATGATGATGATGATGATGATGATGATGATGATGATGATGATGATGATGTGACGACGACGACGACGACGATGATGATGACGATGACGACGACGACGACGATGACGATGACGATGACGATGACGATGACGATGATGATGATGATGACGATGACGATGACGATGACGATGATGATGACGATGATGATGATGATGATGATGATGATGATGATGATGATGACGACGATGATGATGATGATGGAACCCGACTCCCTAGAAACTCAAATAGGGTTTAATCATTGCAAAAAGAAATTTATATGATTATATACAGAAATTTGGAGTTGGACACAAGATCCTAGTGAAGCTTTTAGAAAGTTTGTGGTCTGTGGTGTTGAAGTTGTTATTCGGACGAGAGGAAGCTGGGGACGGTGGCCGGAAATGGGAGTTGGAGACTTGACCGGAGGCGGAGGCTGTGACGCTGGAGAAGGAATCCGGTGACAGAGGCCGGAGAAGGACGCCGGAAATATACGCTGTAGACTGAAAACACTTCCCAAATTAGAAGGAACGAGAAAAGACGATTTTACCCCTTTCAATTCAGTTCAAATGTTGACTTAAGATTTTCCGGTCACAATCCGCCGGTAATTTGGCCGGCGTGACCGAAATTGATAGAAATTACATAGTCAAGGTACTAAATTAACATTTTTGATAGTCAAGTGTTGCAATTAATACAACTCCAATAGTCAGTGGACCAAAATTAAAATTTTTTCTCAAAAAATTATATTACTGCTAATATTAATATTAAAACTATTAATAATGGTTTTGTTTAATAATATGATACCTTTACTAATACTATTACTGCTTTCTAATATAATGCTTTTATGCTTTCTTTCCCTTTGTAATATGCTTTGGCCAAGAACAAATAAAAGAAATCAACAAATTATTTAATCGAAACTACCGTGATTTGGTGATTTTTGAATTGTAAAATAATTAGTTTGTATTGGTGATTTGCGAATTTCAAACAAATTAATTTATTTAAAAAACAAATTATTTTAGTTTTTATTTATTAAACATTTAAAAACTAATTTAAAAATAAATAATTTTTTAAAAATGCCACATATGCATCTTAGGTATAGAGGTAACCTGTTAGAAACCTACAAAATTGACAAATTAAATGAAATTAGTTAGTTAGTTACTAGGACTATGTGGTCTAATGGTATCCGGGTTGGACTTCCATTTGGAAGATTATGAGTTCAAGCCTCAGTGAAGGCGTTATTGGTTCTTTGTGTTTCAGTAGGTTGAGAAAGTATATGAACAGATACTACAATGTAATAGAGCCAGTAACTTTCAAAAAAAAAAAAATGAAATTAGTTAGTTTAGGAACCTAATTATAGATTTTTTAGGTTCAGTGACCTAATTGCATTCTTGTGTGCGGTTGGGTGGCATATTTGACCCTTATTCCTTTACTAGTTGTTTTACACGCATTGCACGAATGGAATAATGCCCAATGATTATTTTAAAATTAGTATTTCAAAGTATATCAATGCAATATTATATCAGAGATTTTCATGTATAAGTAAATAAATATATATTGAATTTGTTTATTTAAATCGGTAATTTAAAGTATATAAATGCAAGATATTATATGAGAGATTTATTATTTTGTCACTAAAATAAATATTTACAACTTTGTAATAACGCTAGTCTAAATACTTAGTCTAAATAAATACTACTTTTGGTTTAAATTTCTCTAATTCTTCTTAATTCTCTTTTGGGTAGCATTGTCATTGTCTTCATCTTCAGTACATGTCCTCTTTTTTTTTCTTTTTTTTTTTATTGTTAGTGTGTCCTGTGTAATTGGGTTACTGGTGGTAGCATAGATGGATTCATCGTGCAATGAGATTATGGTGTAGGAAGATTTAGATTTGCCTTGTTGTACGTGTATATCAGATCTTAATTGTAATATTAACTCTTTATCTTACAAGCATCTATTGATATTTGGTAGTGATAGTTTTTCCCTTACATGTTTCATGTGTTGTGAGATGTGTGTCGTAGGTTATCATGTGAAAGTATTGAACAAAATATTAATATTTATTATATTTGTATAAAATACTTGGTAAATAAATATATATAACATATTTTGCATTATAACTTTAATATTTAATTACAAGATAATGTAAAAAGAAGACAATGGACAATGTAGTGAATATAATAAATTAATAAATTTGAAGGTAATGAATCTTTGAATTGTAGAAAATAAAGATAATATAACTAATGAAATAATATCCCTTTTAAATTTTTTATAATGAATAATTTTTTTTTAAATAAAGGCATTACAGACATCTAATTCTAAATTAATTAAATGCATATGTATTATTTTTTGTTGTAACTACTAATTTATTTAATTTAATAAGAGTAATAAAGTGACGTACATACCTTGATTTTTTTTAATTTATATTCGTTGTTGAGACAAATTGTTTTGAGAGTTTGTCAATGATAATTGTTACAATTCTTATCAATAGAGGATGATAATAAATAATTCAAAATATATAGTTACAATAGATATTGTTATAATGATATAGTAAATATTGAGTTATTACCAACTGAGGTCCTCCGAGTATAATGGTTTTGCCACGTTTAGTCCTAAACTTTCAACTTGACCATTTGTGGTCCTTCGACTTTCAAATTTAACCATTCGTGGTCCAAGTTAACCACTCATGGTCCTCCAACTTTCAAAATTTAATCAACTATAGTCCTTTCAAGAGGACCACGAGTGGTTAAATTTTAAAAGTTGAAGGAACCTGGGTGGTTAACTTGGACCACGAATGGTTAAATTGAAAAGTCGAAGGACCACAAATGGTCAATTTGAAAGTTTATGACTAAACATGGAAAAACCACTATACTCGGAGGACCCCATGTGGCATTAACACTCAGTAAAAATTAACTTACAAATTTCTTTAGAAGTTTTTCATGCATTGATAAAATTCTGATGTGTAAACTTGTTCGATTGGAGCCAGTGGGATGTCAACATTGTCAATTCTTTGAAAAATGATCCTATCGTTTTAGAGTCCAGGTGTAATAATTGTATTTATGATAAACAACTTTGTAGTTAGGTCGCGCATGTTTGAAAATGATGTAAGAACAATTTTGATCAATAAAAAAAGTACAATATTTGGAAAGTAATGTACAATTGTACCATTATAAAAATACATACAAAAAAAATAAAAATTGATACCATAACGACCTAAATCATACCAATAATGCAAAAGTATAATTGAAATATTAAGTTTTTTTCTGATCTAAATAATCAAAAGAAGCTTAATTAAACGAAAAAAAAATAAAAAACTTAACCTATTTTTTTTTTTTTGTTTAAATGCATAAAAATCAAATGATTTTTAAAGTTCTTGATTTATAATCTTTGATGCTTAACTTTAAATGTTATGTATTTAGTCGGACTAATTATATTCGTAGTATATGTTTAACAATTATGCCAGGGATGAGGTTCGAACCTAAGACCTTTCTTATAGAAATTAATGAGCAAATTAAAAATAATAAATAATTAACGAAATATTCCGTTACTAAAGTTTATAGTAACGGAGTTTAAGTTATTTAAGGGAAGAAAATTATATAATAGAGGGTAAATAAGGAAAATCATTAAAATATAATAAAATAAAAATAATATGAACCATTCATTTTAAGAAACAATACTACCGACATTTTTTTTTTACAGTTAAGGGCCTAACATTATTGCCTCTTATTGGAATTGTATATGTAGATAGATGTAGGTTTTATTCACAAGAGTATATATATATATATATATATATATATATATATATATATATATATATATATATATATATCAACCTATGTGGTCTAATGGTACATTGAATCTTTTGTACGCACATGAAGACACCAATGTGTGGTTCGAATCGCACATGGAAACATGTATGGAAAAAGGTCAAAAAATGATGAAATGTCTGGATTGAATCTAAAAATGATGGAATGTCTGGATTGAATCTTTTGTACGCACATGAAAACTAGCTAGGACCACTTGTGATTTATCTCCGCAGTGACAAAGCTAAGATCATCTATGTTTAACAAAATAAAAATAAAATAAAAACTACTACTATTAATTTCTATTTATTTATTTTTCTTTATCGAATAAAATATGCACACATAGCGAGAGTTATACTCCTTAGAGTATGTCTAACATTTTCCATATATATACATACATACACACACAAACTCTACACATATTTCACAAGTTGTAGGACCCCCCCTCCCAACCCCAAGTGTAGCCCATCTCAAGAGCTTCTAACACTCGGGTGTTTGGGTGTGGTCTCTGTTGGTATTCTGACAATAGTCGTACTCTTTATGATTCTTCTGCACCCATGCCATGGCCGCAATTTGCTGGTTGCTTAGCCTGGTCGAGCCCGTCGGGGAGCCAGGAATTGGTCGGCATGCGGTGGAAGTGTTGGCCGCGCAACCAGTAACCTTGAAATCCTTGTACTTCCCAATAAAGGGTTGATATCTATAATCAGCCTTGTACTTCCCATTCTCCGTCGCCCACGATGACGCATCCCAGATTGATCCGTACACATACATTGCTCTTTGTGGAAATGTTGCATCGCTCTTCCTCGGATAGTATCGGATTGGCACATCGTCTACGAAAAATCTGACCCAACATCGAAAACGTTATTTTATTTTGGACATATTTCATGAATTAAACGTGCTGTAATGAGAAAAAGATTACTGTCATACTTTTTTTTTTTTTTTTTTTTTTTTTTTTTTTTTTTTACATATTTCATGAAGTAAACCTGTTGTAATAAAGAGGGAAAGATTACTAAAATAAATTTTAATGAACTAAACGGCTGTAAAAAGGAAAAGATTACAACATATATTTCCTCAAGCATATTTCATTAACTACATGTGCGGTAAAAAATACTGTCTGGAAATTATGAAATTTCCGGCCATCTGAAAGTGATCTTAAACCAAGTTGAAAGCAAAAAGTGGTCAGAGATAGCAATAAAGGTTATTCCAGATATCAAAAGTGGTCGAAACAAGGCTTTCGACTTGATTTAAGATCACTTTCAGGTGGTCGAAAATTCCATAATTTCAAGCAGTGAAAGAAAATATTACTTACATACAATATTTTCCTTGACATAATTCATTCTGTAAAGAGGGAAAGAATATTGACATATATTTCCTCGAGTCAATTCTATTTTGGTCCTAAATTTAAGGTGATAGTCCACTTTAAGTCTTTTTTTTTTTTCTTTTTTTTTTTTTATTGAAGCATCCACTTTTGGTCATACTATCTTCAATAAAACAATTTAAATATCATTAAATACAACGGTATCTCCATCTTCAATTATGATTTTTTTTTTAAAAAAATAGACATAAAAATATAGCCGGTCAACTTACTTTATATAAAAGGATCAAAATGTTAATGGCATTTTAATGATTTTGTTGAGGGAGGACTAAAAACGGTCCTTTCAAAATAATAGGACCAAATATGGATGTTCTAATAAAGAATGAGGAAAAGATTTTCAAAACATATTTCATGAATTAAACTTGTTTTAATATAGAGGGAAAGATTACTGACATACATTTTCGTGGCATATTTGATGAACTAAATCTGTTGTAAAGAGGAAAAATGACTACTGACATACATTTCCTGGACATATTTCATGAACTAAATATGCAGTAAAGAAGGAAAGATTAATTACTGAGATATATTTTCCTCGACATATTTCATGCTGTAAAGAGGGAAAAATTACCGATATATATATATATATATATATATATATATATATATATATATATATATATATATATATATATTCTCGACATATTTCATGAACTAAACGTGGTGTAAAGAGGATAAGATTACTGACATGATCTCTGAAGGATTCCAGAGGATAGCATAATGGTGAAAATCTTGGGTGGGGTCGAACCAGAGGTTAAATCTGACTTCACGTCCGATAATGTTTCCGCCATCTCCGCTTCCTTTCATGTACACATTAGTCTGCAAGGTGTATGGCTTACCCGGCGTCGTTCCCAGGAACTCAATGTCTATTTCGTCATGCTCTTTTGGATGTTGTTCTATGTTCGAAAGCTGATCATGTTCAATTCGGCCACCATAAATATATGCATCATATATCATGTATGTATGTATGTATGTATTGCAAAAAGAAAATAATACATGCATGCATGCCTCACATGAATTGAAGGCGAATACAAATAGAAAAACTTTAATTTGAGTGGTACGGTCAAATTCTTTCTCACATACGTACATAGAGACATGTAATGACTCCAGCAGTATAACCAGCTTGGAGCTTGATGGAGGCACCAATATAACCAGAGCCATATGATTTGAGAGATTTAAAGCCACTCCCTGATCCAATTATTTATATTGTCAAAACAAAATAAAAATGATTATTATCATTATATAAAAGTGCTTATATATAATAATACAATTCGTCATTGTTGCCTACTGTAAACTTAAATGGATTAGTCCCATATTGCTAGTGCAGATAACGGCGCAATATGTAAAAAAAGAAGAGTAACAAAAGACTGGGCAAAACGTAAATGGATTAACCTCATCTCATGAGTGTAGATACCGATGTGATATGTAAAAAGAATAGGATAATAATGTATGACAGGACAAAACTTAAATGGATTAATCTTATTGTAAATGTACAAATGATACACATGTTTCTTGTATTAGATTGGCTAATTATTTATCAAAACATACTTTGGTTTATTTAGATTGTTTTAGGATCTGTCTTACAGTTTGGACCTACAACAGAAGCTGTGTGCTATGGTTAAGTCTGGATTTACATCAGTCTCTGAGTCAATGTGTACATCAGTTTGGGCGAAATTTTCTAACACATTTTAGTTAAGTGGATAAAATTTTCAGGCAGTTTTTAAATTGAATGGCAGTTCATTTTATGAGGATTTTCAGCAGCTAAAGTTTAGAGTTGATGGTTACAACTCTTATACATTATATAAAGGCGTGAAGAAGGAAGCTCAAATTGAACACACTTGCTCTAAATTATTCTACCTTCTACGAGTACTCTATGAAGGTTTTATATGATCATTACTTACTCTATTATTGGTGATATATGTTTATGGTGACTGAAGCTTGAAGGCTTATTGGCTTGCAATGTAGCAATTCAAGGGAGATGATGAAGATTGAGTTGGTTTAGGGCCATAGTGTGTATGGACGTGTTATTTCAACGTGTGTAATCTTTAGTGATCATCTAGTGGATTGGGTATACATTGAGTAGCCCGTTAACGTAGGAGAATTTTTCCGAACTGTGTGATCAATTCTTGTGTCCTAGTTCCTTTCTTTACTTGTCATTATTGTTATTATATTTTATCTCTGATACTGTCCATAAACCAGAATCTAATCCACATAACGAATTGAACTAAAATTGAGTAGGAACCTTTAAGGTAATCACTTGCATTCAAGATCCACAATCTTTTTCACTTATCTCGTAGGTACATATATATAATTGTGCCACATGTAAAAAAGAATATAATAACAAATGGCCGATTGAGACTTAATTGAATTAGTCTTACCTTGCAGATACAAATACCAGTATAATATGCAAAAAGAAGAGTAACATCAAACCAACCTCCATGAGTTTTATCAAGCCAGATTGACAATGTTCCTTGGTCGAGAGATTGATGCTCAGGACCCCAGAGGTTCCTAAAACCCTGGTTGAATCCTAGGGAACCAACCTTGGTGCTGGGGTAGTAGCCAGGTGAAGGTGGAGCTTGAGCATTATTGCTTGAAGTGAACAAGAAAATGATGGCAAGAGAAAGAAGAAGATGATGATGAAGATCCATATATGTTGAATAATGGTGGAAATTGAAAAGATGGAGAGCAGTGTACATGCAGTATAGTAGTGGATGGATATGATGATCAGGGCAAAAGAACAAAGGGTGTATAAATAAGAAGATTTGAGGGTCCCCATGGAGAAATGAATTGATCCATCGACAGAGACGTTGATGGGCGTTGGACATATGACCAAACTAACAAGAAACGGTTTGAAATCAAGTGTTCGTTGTTTGTGGGGCTTTACTTTATTCACTGTGAAAATTAAACTTTAGACACGTTAAAGATCAGAGCCCTTAGGAATAATATTAGAAAGATTCTTTAAGTTATGGATTCATAATAACTTAAATTGCCTCTAAATTAATCATTCAATGGAATTACGAAATACTGCAAATCCTCTCACAATAATACTACCAAAAGAATAGTTGATCAATAATTATTGATTTCTATTCTATTCTATTTCGAAAATGCTCTTTTTTGCCTTCTGATTTTCCATTTTTAAACTTTCTCATTAGACTTTCATTTATTGGGTGCCAATAAATTGGTTGACTATACTACTAATTCAAAAAAAAAAAAAAAAAACTTAACTACTAATAAAATAATACCACATCAAATAGAGAAATTTTTAGAGAAAATACTGGAAGGATTTATAGCCTTGTTTGTTTTATTTTATTTTTGTTTTCTTAACCGCAAAACCAGGCCTAACTTGTTTGGTGAAAAAAACTAGCCTTTAGACAAGTCATTGTGGAGTGTGATTCGGCGGCCATGGTCATTCGGTGGGTTTTGGGAGGTATGATGCCACGAAGTCGTATTATGAATTTATTGGAGGGATGCAAATTAAATGTACTATAATACTTAAGTTTGAAGGGTCAAGTCTAACATTATATCATCAAAATGTGATAATATTTTACCTTCTATAAAAGTATAAGAAATAAAGTTGTGTTTTTGTAATTAGTTATAACTTTTGACGTAGTAATAAATATTTAATTTAACAATTAGTACTAGAGTAGATCATGGGTTTATAAGTGTTGGAAGGGAGATTGTTGGATAGAGGAAAATCGGAAAGACCAAATCTAGTATCCAACTATATATCGAAAATCAACTTTGGCTATTATGTAAGTATGAAAAATAAAAATAAAATTGCGCTTATAATTTTCCGTGTAGTGATAAGGGCAAACTGAAGCATGTAATAGAAAATGAGAAAAAGTGATGTGGGTTAGATGAGCCTAGCTTCCTTCTCCCTTTACCAAATTTTAATGGAAGATTGAATGCGGCTCCTGCAATCAAGACAAGCATGTCACATGTGATGCGTAATTAAGTGTTCTGTTTTACCATAATCTATATATGCTATATATTGTATGTCTTGTATCTCATAAATACAAATTTTATATTAGGTCCAAAGTCTGATTAACTAACAACTTCTAATTATTTCGTTTAATCAAACAACTTAAGGTAACACTTGTGTGAAACCGTCTCACGGGTTTCAATTCGTGAGACGGGTCGGATCTTTGATTAATGAGTTGGATCTTTGACCTCATTAATCAAAGATCCGACCTGTCTCACGATCACTGATCTCACACAAATTTTTGCCAACAACTTAATAAGCTTAGTCAATTTACATCATTAAATTAAAACCTTTATATAATATATATTATACGAGAAAATCCAACAACACATACATGCGATGCATAATTAATTAGGCGTTTTTGTTTTGAGTTAGGCTCCTTCTTTCCTTTACCAAATTTTAACGGAAGATAGAATGGGACACCCACAACCAAGACATGCATGTGATGCACAATTAGGTGTTATTTTCTACTTTTAAAAAAAGAGAGTTGAATCAAGTCAAAATTTTTAAGACAAGCGGATAAAAATTACTATAAATTATTAATCATTTGACTACTATAAGGTATTTTTGTGGCGGGACGTATTTAAAAAGGAAGGTCATACAAAAGTGTATTACTATCTCATTAATAAACGTAACCTCAATCTTACACGCTTCACCTTTTTGGAAGCTGACCCCAGCGTTTCAATGATTTTGTTGAAAGATAGACAAAAAATGGTCATACCATAATAATATTAAGATAAAAAAGAAAAGAAAATACTACATAGTACATATACTCCCATCCTTTACTTCAAACTTTTACCAATTGTTATACCGTGCACCACGGCGCACATAGCACTGTGCGTCCCGCGCCTCCCAAAACAACGTCGTTTTGTTAAGTTAAAAAAAATTCTCAGTTTCGAATGCACATAAACTCATAACAAAATACACATAAACTCATAACAGAATACACATAATCTATCATAATACATAATACACATAAACTTTTAACTGAATGCACATAATGGAGTTTGGTTAACATAATACACATAAACTCTTACTGAATACACATAAACTCATAACACAATACACATAAACTTTTAACTGAATACAGATAATGGGGTTTAGTTAACATAACACACATAAACTCTTAACTGAATACACATTCATAACACAATACACATAAATTTTTAACTGAATACACATAATGGGATTTGGTCTGTTCGGACGAACGAAGTGACGTTAGCATGAAACGCGCCCGTTTTGTGCTTGGACACACATTGCTATGTGCGCCGTGGTGCACGATATAAATTGCCAACTTTTACTCCCACACATTGATGTAGACACTTTTACAGGGGCCCACATGAAGAAAACAGCCTATCAGAGCCCGCCACATCAGGGAGTAAATTTGAGAGAGTAAGATTTGGGAGTACATGTAGTAGAACTCAAAAAGAAATGTTCTAAAAAAAAAGACTAAAATTAAACTAGTGTCACCTATAAATTTAGAACAAAAAATAAAATTAACTCAATTACAACTGTAACGGTCTGACGAGAATTAATCACACATGTAATAGAACGAGAATTAATCACACATGTAACAGAACAAGGGAAAAGATTCCCTACCAATTATTTTATTTCATAAGTTTGAATTTCAAATTTAAAGACTTATACCGTTTTTTTTACCCGAGATTGATTGATAGAAGAGGTATTTAAGATCGTCCTGAATCAGGTGCGATATCATAAATATATTTGATACCACAACCCTTCAATTGTATAAAAAATAAATTGATTATGATTTTTTTAAAAAAAGAAGTGGTGGGTTAGTTTATAATATATTATTACAATTCATTAATATAATATAATATAGCCATAAATATATTTGATGCCATTAAAAAGAAAGGAAGAAACAAAGATATTCTCAAAAGAAAACTAAATACCGCACTAAAATTATTATACTTTTTGTCAAGGATCAAAACTTTGCCAAGTAGGACTTCGTAAAAGAAGAAATTAGGATTCAAAAAAGTAGTAATATAAGTTTATTGTTTGAAATGATAACTGTAAGTTAAAAGGTGTTAACTCAATTAGAAAGGCATTGAGTCGTTAAAGTATAAAATCGAAAATTTGAACTCGTGAACGTAAATGTGGATATCAATATATTTAGCATAAAAAATGATAATTATGTTGAAAAATAGCATAAAATGACATTATAAGTAGTTATTTTGTAGTACAAATATATGTGGATCTACTTCTAATTTGGGTGGATCAAAGTGAATTCGGGTTCTTCATAAAATGAAGAGATTGATATATTGTACTCTCAAATTGGATAATGGATAAATAAGAAATTGATTCTGAAAGTAGACACATATTGATGGGGATATGGGACCCTAGGGGTCCATTTTAATGGGAAAGTATTGACCCAAGTGGGGGTGGTGAAAGAAGGAGGTTGGACCAAGTCTTGTTGGGCTAGGAAGACAAGCACGCATGGTGGGCCAGGGTGAAGAACATGGACCGGAAGGCGGGAGGAAGTAGGTGCGGGAGGTAGGTACGACGTGAGGGGGGAGGTAGGTACGATATGAGGGGGGGAGGTAGGTACGGCGTGAGGGGGGAGGTAGGTACGGCATGAGGGGGTAGGTACGGCGTGAGGGGGTAAGTAGGTACGATATGAGGGGGGGAGGTAGGTACGGCGTGAGGGGGGAGGTAGGTACGACGTGAGGGGGGAGGTAGGTACGGCGTGAGGGGGTAGGTAGGTACGATATGAGGGGGGGAGGTAAGTACGACGTGAGGGGGGGAGGTAGGTACGGCGTGAGGGGGGAGGTAGGTACGGCGTGAGAGGGTAGGTAGGTACGGCTGAGGGGGGGAGGTAGGTGCGGCGTGCATGGTGGAGGATGCGGGAGTTGCGGGGATAGTGGCGACGTGACATGCATGGCGACAAACAAGCGGAGTGGGGGAGGAGCAACGTGGGACACGCGGACGCCAGAGGAGGAGGGGGGCTTGCTATAAATAGGGGCCCTGGATCTTTGGCTAAGGGGCAACTCAGACACGATAAGCACTACAGTCTAGTGGTTTTGGTCTTGTACTCTCAATCCAGTCATCTGGGTTCTATTCCTACCAGTAGCATAGTTCGTTATAGCCCATCCTGTGGGCCTTGTTCTTTGTAATTCGGCTGCCATTCTGGGCCTGTACCTCGGGCTTTTGTACGCATTGTTCTGGGCCTAGCACCCTACCCCCCGTCCTATGTTCCTATACCCTGTTTATGGTGGACCCGGTCCCAATAAAACCATCACATATTAATTGAAAAATGAAGGTAGAAAGGCTTGAAACAAACACTTGTCCACATTGGAAAAAGAAGAGGATTTACACCATTATATATACAAAAACACTTGTCCACATTGAAAAAAGAAGAGAATTTACACTATTATATATACAAAAACTTTTTACAAAAATATTGAATTGTAGAGCATACAGACTCTCTTTTGCACCCAAGAGGTAGGTGCAAATCAAATCAAATCTCAAAATAAACTATGATTCGTAGTACGCGTTGTTTTCTCAAAATTGTTATTTTTGTAGTAATCTTTCCAAGTTGTACCACTAAGAATGGACTAATTATTTCAATGAATAAGTAAATTCCTTTTTTCTCATGATGAAATTGGTCATGAGTTGCAACGAGGTGATCACACCGAGAGGTAAATTTAAGGAGAAAAATAACATTTTCAATGATAAATTGTTCGAGTATATCAATTAATT